ATGAAGAAATCATGACTTTTTTACTTTATCATGTTTATATAAGTAAAAAAAAAATCTAAATGTCTAAGGGAAATAACTCTACTTCCAAAATATTTCACTTGTACAAGAAAATAAAATAAATGGGGAATGTGTCCATGGGACACAGATGATGCCCCTGCTTGCATATCATATAAAGGAACATAACTGAAGAATGGTAAAAGTGACGCTACCCAAATTTGTACTTGATCTGAGTTTTGTAGTAATAAGTATTGTGTATAAGTTTCATAACATTTGGTTGAGGCCAACTTAAGTTAGAGAACAGAAACGAAAATTTCAGCAATTTTTACATTTGTAAAGGGGCATAACTCAAGAACAGTAAAAGTGACGCCACAAAAATTCAAACTTGATCTGTATTTTGTGGTAATAAGCATAGTCCTTAATTTTTATAACATTTGGTTGAGGTAAACTTAAGTTGGAGAACGGAAACAAAAAATTCAGCAATTTTTCCATTTGTAAACGGGCATAACTCTGAAACAGTTAAAGTGAAGCCACCAAAATTCAAAGTTGATCTGTATTTTGTGATAATAAGCATTGTGTATAAGTTTCATAACATTTGGTTGAGGCAAACTAAATTTAGAGAACAGAAACAAAAAATTCAGCAATTTTTCCATTTGTAAAGCGGCATAACTCTGGAACGGTTAAAGTGAAGCTATCAAAATTCAAAGTTGATCTGTATTTTGTGATAATAAGCATTGTGTATAAATTTCATAACATTTGGTTGAGGCAAACTAAATTTAGAGAACAGAAACAAAAAATTCAGCAATTTTTCCATTTGTAAACCGGCATAACACTGGAACGGTTAAAGTGAAGCCACCAAAATTCAAACTTGATCTGTGTTTTGTGGTAATAAGCATTATGTATAAGTTTCATAACATTTGGTTGAGGCAAACTAAAGTTAGAAAGCGGAAACCAACTTGGGGACGTACATTATATGGACGGACGTACCTACAGACGGACAAGGGTAAAACTTAATATCCCCTTCGCTTCTGCGGGGGTATAATAAAAAACACTTGTATGAATATTACTCCTGAAGATCAGTGTAAATATACTTTCCAACATTCAGTTACAAGTTAAAGATTGAAAAGCCTCTACCATTGTCTACCATATTCTAAATATGAAACAGCAATTCAACCACACAAATACCATATATATACATGTAGGTGAGAACAGTCTTCAACAATAGAATAAAGAATGGGAAATGGGGATGTGTGAAAGACACAACCCAACCAAAGAGCAGAAAACAGACCAAGGCCACCAATGTGTCTTCATCCAAGTGAGAAAATTCTGCACACAGAGGCAGGCTTCAGCTGACACCTTAACAATAATGTATACTAGTTCAGCAAAATGGACATACATCAACGATATGTCCAGCTATGTCCATTGGCAGATCAAGGGGGGTTCAAACCCTCTTTTTTTTCGATTTTTTATTTTATTTTATTTTTTAATTATGTGAACGTTTCATGGTGTTCCAGGGATTGGAACCATCCCTTTTCAAAATGGCTAGATCTGTGACTGATGAGTTTAAATAAACAGAAACAATCAAAGATCTACACATACATGTACATTTACTGTCAATTTTGAATTCTAATGAAATTAATTTGTAATGTATCAATAGCTTTGACATGTCTGATTGGATGACAATCAGTGTACAATTCTCTATCTACCTGTCTGAAACTAACGGAAGCCGAAATTTTTAATTCTGGAATGTATTGACATGTATTTCTCTAACAATAAGCAAAAAATGTCAAATTTCACACCTAGAAATCATCTTTTTGTCAAATTTTATTACATTCTGAAGCAGGACAAGAATTGAGGGAAGTGTGACAGGATATTGTTAATTCCCTTGAATAATAGGTACTAAGATATCATACTTAGCCGGTCATAATGATTTGAGCTAGAAAATAACCTCTTTGATTCAGTCAGTTAGAGCCCTGACTTTCATGACTTTGAAAACAGAGGCACTGGGTCCAAGTTTACTGGGGTGACAATTATGATTTTTTGCTGAGAATCATGCTCTCCTGCAAAAAGGACAGTTATTAAAATTCCAATTTTTGCAACAACTTATTCCAGTAAGGGACATATAAAATTATCAAGAGTGCACACGCTGAGATGTCTCGTCTGCTTTACTCACCATTGATTTTATGTTGAAAGTCTTAAAGATAAAGGTTTTACTACAAGGACCACATAAACTTAACATTTTTAAGATCCATGACAATGAGGTCAAGGTCAGACAAAAACTGTCACACAGCCATGTACATCTTACAATTATTCCATACACCAAATAAAGTTGAACCATTGCTTATGGTAATTGAAAACAGACCAAAAAACAAAAACTTAATGTTAACCAATGAACCATGGAAATGAGGTCAAGGTCAGATGATACAGGCTAGACATGCAGACATAAACACCTTACAATCATTCCATACACCAATTATAGCTGGCCTATTGTTATTTATAAGTATTTGAAAAACCAAGAAAAACACAAAAACTTAACATTGACCAATGAACCATGAAAATGAGGTCAAGGTCAGATGACACAGGCTAGACAAACATGTACACCTTACAATTATTCCATAAACCAAAAATAGTTAACCTTTTACTTATAGTACTTGAAAAACAGACCAAAACACCAAAAAATTAACAATGACCAATGAACCATGAAAATGAGGTCAAGTTCAGATGAAACCTACCAGTCTGACATGTACCCCTTACAATCATTCCATACCACCAATATAGTTGACCTGCTGCTTGTAGTATCTGAGAAACAGACCTAATCACGTAACTTTAACCTTGATCACTGATCCATGAAATGAGGTTGAGGTCAAGTTAACCCTGTCAGACGGACATGTAGACGTTGCAAGGAACCCATATCCCAAATATAGTTATCCTATTACTCATAATAAGTGAGAAATTCACATGAGAAAAAAACTGTAATTTTTTTCAAGCAGTCACTGAACCATGAAAATGAAGTCAGGGACAATAAATGGGCATATGACAGACGGAAACTTCGTAACATAAGGTATCTGCATACAAGGTATGAAGCATCCAGGTCTTCTAACCTCTGAAATATAAAGCTTTATACAAATAGTTTACGCCGCCACAGCCGCCCCTGGACAGTCAGGGGACTTACTTAATTGAGTGATTTTCTAAATCACTGATTCAAGTAACATTATGTCCATAAAGGTTGGAAGTAAGAGTTGTCTTTCTTTAATAATCACCTATTTAAGTATTACAAATTAATCACTAGACTAAGTGATTTAATGTTATTGTATCTTTAAATATAGAATATTAATGATCCAGGCACTAATTATGTTGCTAAAATTATCAGTACCAACATCTGTGTTGATAGGTAGACCGGGTCATGTCAGGTGATGACCTTGTACTAAATCTAGGATAATGACGTAAAAATCACTTGTTTAAGTATCATACCTGAATTTCCTTCCAAGAAATCACTTCTTTAAGTATCATTATTTTAATAACCCCCACTAATTTCAACACCCCCGAACAGTGAAATTTTGATCGCGAACAGTAGAATTTTATTACATAATCTATAAGATGAAACCTTGAATTTTACAGGAAAAATACTCTCACTGCTGGGAAAAATCTGTTAAGAAAGTATCAGTTCATTATGTAAAGCCATTTTTATAGCATTTTTTCAACTAAAAAAGAATTTGCAGCTAAATGATTGCATCAAAGGCATAAACTTTGCTGCTTAAAAGAAGCAAAAAGTTTATTTTTTTCAATTTTACTAATGAAAAGATATTATCTAAACCTATGTGTATAAAATTTTGGTAAAACTTCAAAATCACAATTTGTGACAAAACTTCGAATTTGCTACTTAAATAAGTGATTTAAAAATCACTTATTTCAATAAGTCCCCTGACTGCTGGATAGTAATACCTATGCCTCACATACTGCGATTTTTGTCGCAGGCGAGACAAAAATGTTTAAAAAAATATCTGTGGTAGAGCTATGTTTTTAAGATTTGCATTAATTAAGGTTTTATGAGATCAGAATATACTTAATATATTTTATTAACATTTATAATAATTTGTAGACTACTATTTCATTCAGGTAGAACATTACCTATAGCATGTATAGATTAATATGTTTTCCGTAGCAGACCTCATGATTGTTTGCACTAGTACAAATGATGAACTATAACAGTATATAGTATTGTTGTATAACTGTAGATATAAAGGTAGTCTAATTGGTTGAGTTAAGGAAGAGATCTTCCTTTCCTCAGTCAGTTATAGCACTGCCTTTAGATTCAGAGATTGAGGATTCCAATCCCACTAGTACCATCCATGTATTTTGATAATATTAGCGCTGCAAGCAACTACAACAGGCAGTTAATTTGATTTCATTAGGTATATAATGACCAACAGGTCATTAGGGATGAACATGACATGTCTGGGTGACATGCAAGGAACTGGACAGGGGTTTCATAGTAAAAGACTCTGGAAGGTTTTTTTTTCCAGTAGTGGACCTGTGAGTTCCTAAGATGAATAGTAACACAGCGCAAAACAAGAAAATGGAGTATTGTGTAACTGGAGATATAAGTTAAGGTAGTCTAACTGGTTGAGTTGAGTAAGGGAAGATGTCTTCTTTGGCTCAATCAGTTAGAGGGCTGCCTTTAGATTCACGAGACCTGCTGGTACCATCCATGTATTTTCACACTATAGCATGTTGAACAGTTGTAATATACAAATCCATGGTTGTAATAAATGAAATTTAAATGTCAAAATATAGGACAACGTGTTTGACCCAATAAACTTTTGTAAACATATGCGCATTTCAGATAAATGATCGTCTAACGACTATAAAGCAGCGGCCGTCGTTTCATAGGAGTATAGACCCCATCTAATCATTTTTTATTGGAAGGAGGGGGTCTGTACTTTAGTGAATCCACAGGTTGTGCCGGAAGTTCTGATCTTCACAGTTTACTCTAATTTACTTACCATTACAATCACATATGTCGTATAATGTTCATTAATATATTCTGTGCTAAATTCCGTAATTAAGACATTTCTTTTCACTGTATAAAAGGCAAACTTGTCTTCTGATATGTCTGTCACATGACTTGCATACGGAATAGTTCGTAATCTCTTTGATATTTATATGAATTGCTAGGATAAGTCTAGAGAGTTTACTTATTTCCCGCGTTTATACTAATACCAAATGCAATCATGTATTGACAGCGCATCCGAATGGCCTTACGATTTTAAAAGATTTTTTTCCAAGATCTTTTTTTTAGAACTATAACATAGTCTTTTACAATCTCGTGTGCAAGTGGAAAGAGTTTTTTTTTCACACTCCTTTATATTTTTTTCTTTGTTTGGTCAGTACGTTGTAGTATTTTATATTTACGTTAGTGTAGAGGTCTACTCTGGATTTTTACTTATAGTGCTGTTTATTCAAACTTATAAGCTTAATTTTGCAGTATGCTTTTAATTATCATTTGTGAATTGATTTTTAGTTGTGCTTTAAATTACAGCTTTGCTTAGTTCTAAGTTGTACGTTAATTTGTTAAAGGTATGCTTTAACAAATAATCTTATTGTGCTTTACTTTTAGTTTTGCTTTAAAAAATAAAAGTGCTTCGCATGTAGTTCAATAACTGTGTTGTATCTATGCATTTTTATACGCCCGTTTACGGGACGTATTATGGTATACCGTTGTACGTCCGTCTGTCCGTCTGTCCGTCCGTCGTCAACATGTCGGACATTAACTCAAAAACGCTTTAACCAATTTGCATAAAACTTTGGTGAATTGTTTATATCTATTGACGTGAGCTCCCATTTGTTTTTTTATAAATTTTAGATTTTACGTTTCCGAGTTATGGGGTTTTATTCATTAAAAAAAGGGGGATTTTCCAGTTTTCGGACAATAACTCAAGAATGCTTTCACCAACTTGCAAGAAATTTTGGTTGATTGTTTATATCTATTGACATGAGCTCCCTTTGGATTTTTATAAATTTTAGATTTTACGTTTCCTAGTTATGGGGTTTTATTCATAAAAAAGGGGGGATTTTCCAGTTTTCGGACAATAACTCAAAAATGCTTTCAGCAGTTCTCATAAAACTTTGATGAATTGTTGATATCTATTGATGTAAGCTCCCTTTTAGAATTTTATAAATTCTAGATTTTACATTTCCGAATTATGGGGTTTATTCATTAAAAAAGGGGGGATTTTCCATTTTTCAGACAATAACTCAAAAATGCTTTCAGCAATTCGTATGAATCTTTGGTGAACTGTTTATATCTATTGATGTAAGCTCCCTTTTTGCCCCAACTGTTCAGGGTTAGACCTCTGCGGGCGTATCCAGCTGCGCTTAGCGAAGCAGTTTATTATATATGCCGCCTATAAATCCTCTCTCTGTATTCTCTCTGTTCTATGTTATGTATATGCTATTTATATTCGGCAACACTGAAGCTTACACGAGCTTATTGTTGTACTGTTAGATGTAAACAGAATCAAAGTAAAACTAAAGATTATAATCTAATAAATTTTCATTTATCAAGGCTTATGAACAATTTCCTAAACTTAAAAATTAATATATGTAATAAAAAGAAAATATTTCAAGTTCTTTCTCTTATATATTCGAACAATTGTCAACAAATTATTTGTGACTTTTTTCCCATCAAATTTGTGACTTTATGTCCTGTGACTTTTTTCCCATCCAATTTGTGACTTTATGTCCTGTGACTTTTTGTCCTGTGACTTTCTGTCCGTTTACCTGAACTGATTTTTACTCGACCAGATTGAATTGGTCTGAATATAAAAAAAGAAGATGTGGTATGATTGCCAATGAGACAACTCTCCACAAGAGACCAAATGACACAGAAATTAACAACTATAGGTCACCGTACGGCCTTCAACAATGAGCAAAGCCCATACCGCACAGTCAGCTATAAAAGGCCCCGAAATGACAATGTAAAACAATTCATACGAGAAAACTAACGGGCTAATTTATGTACAAAAAATGAACGAAAAACAAATATGTAACACATAAACAAACGACAACCACTGAATTAAAGGCTCCTGACTTGGGACAGGCACATATATACAGAATGTGGCGGGGTTAAACATGTTAGCGGGATCCCAACCCTCCCCTAACCTGGGAAGTGTTGTAACAGTACAACATAAGAACGAACTATAAAAATCAGTTGAAAGATGCTTAACTCATCAGATGGATACACATACTACAAATACAAGTGGACGTGGCCGGGTACTTGTACATCCAAACAACAAAAAACACTAAGTGCAGATCTGAGAGTACTCGCAGTTACTGACAGCTAGTTTAAAGCCACTAACAACTAATAAAAAAAATCATGCACCTAAGACTGAAATTTACTTGATATTACTCGACTGTAGTCTGAACCATACTAAACAGTCTGAACTTGTACTCGACCTTTACTCGACTAGTACTTAACCATTTTATACGAGTCTGAACCATACTTGACATAGTCTTAACCATTCTCGAACAAGTCTGAACCATGGTGGACCTAGTCTGAACCATACTCGACCTAGTCTGAACTATTCTCGACCAAGTCTTAACCAACCTAGACCTATTTTTTGTATCTATCTATTGTATTTCATCAATTTAGGAACTGTTATACATACACACATATATATATAAAAAATGTATATCCCATTTAAAATTGAAATAAAACAAGGTGGTCAAATTTCTGGTTGGATTAAAAAAAACTATCATATAATAAATTAAGTTCGTTTAATTAATTTTTATATACATGATATCATGTTCACATTGATTTATGCACATCAAAAATACTAGAACTTTCAACCATTATTCAAATATCTTAAATGTTATTCAATTTTTTTTTTTATCAAAATATATATAAAATAGTATATAAAGCAACTTAACAAATGTTAAAATTGACACCTTTGTTTTGTAAAACCAAAAATTTAATATAATAATAGTAATAAAACTTTCATAGCAATCCTTGATAACCTTTTAAAAAAGGAAATGTATTCCAAAGTTGCAGTAGAAATTTATTTTAATTAAATTGAAATACGTTTTGTCAAAATTTAAGACATGACATACAAGAAGCACTTTAAAAGGTTTTAATGGTTTAACTACCTCAGTACAGGTGTGTTTTACAGGTAAAAAGAAAACCATATTTTTATTAAACTGGTGTATTACTTATCTTGTGAATTCAAAAGGGTTGTTATTTAAGTTTTACAGGATGTTGTAATTTTCAATGGATGTTATTTAAAATTTATTACTCTCTGACCAAAATTCACAAACACTTATTTAGGCATATTTCGGTTTACACAAATTATTTGGCAACTAAATTCACATATTACACAATTTGGCATATCCAAATTATCCGCTCTTTACTTGGTTGCTGGTGTACCAGGACAACTTTGCCACTGCTGTTTGCTTGGTCTAGCTTTCCTCCTGTTCCTACTTTTGGTGGCTCCGTTTTTATTAAATATTTATTTTTACATATATATTTTTTATTTTTATTTATCTTGGTTTACTATAAAAAAAATTCATTGTTATATTCTTTTATTTTATTTGTTTTTATTCATCAATTTATTTATTTATTTATTTATTAAATTATTAAATTATACATCAATTTATTTGTTTATTTAATTATTCAAATTTTTACTCATTTTTATTTTTATTTACCTTTTTTTTTTGTCATTCTAAATTATATCAATTACCATATGGTAAAACCTAAATTATTTAAATGCCCAAAAAGGCGCAAGCCAGGGCCGACCGTGCAAGGGCTGTATAGCCAGTCAAGGTCGTTAAAAACTTCCATATATATACCAGGTGTGATCTTTTTAATCAGTGTGCCCCAGCAGGATGTATTACTTTATAGTTTACCTCTAATCAGAAGAATTTTTTTTATTAATTTCTTTAATTTTTTTATCCCTTTTTAAAACATATATTTTTCCCAAACTATAAATAGGAATAGATATATTTCTGATATAAGGTTAAACAATGTCAGTGATTTTGTTAAAATTAAAATTAAAGTAAACATAAGTGTTTTATTGTTCAAAGAAAAATAATCTCAAAACTGAATTGTGACTTTGTGTTCTGTGACTTTCTGTCCTACGTTCGTTTTTATTTAGGAATTTAGGAAAATCAAGTTTTGTTTAAAAAAAAACACATGCCAAACAAAAAGCACCTTATTTTTAATAAGGTTTTATTACCCTCAGTATAGGTGTGGTTTTCAGGTAAAAGAAAGTCTTTTATTTAACAAGACTCAGACTTTAAAATTAGATAATTTAACTATCTCGATTTGACAAATCTAAGAGAATCATGTATTATTAAAGGATGTAAAAATCTGTTTTTATATATATTTTTATTTAATTGTGGCTGTTGTCATGTCAGTTAAAAAGAAAGTTATTTTAACAATCAAAATTATAAAGAAGAGGTTATTTGGTTAAGTATGGTTCGGACTGTTCGAGTATTGTTCAGACCTTTCGTCGAGTATGGTTCAAACTGAAAAACATAGGTCGAGAGCTGGTCAAGTATTGGTCGAGTACAGGTCGAGACTAGGTTAAGACTGTTTCAGACTGGTCGAGTAATAGTTCAGACTTTCTTCAATAGCGAAGAAAAGGGTCAAGTACAAATCAGTACAGTCGAGTATGGTTAAGACTGGGTCGAGTAATGTTAAGTAAAATTCAGACCAATTCAGACTGGTCGAGTAAAAATCAGTACAGTCGAGTACAGATATAGGCCATTTAAGACTTTTACTGGTTTGTAGTGTAAGACATTATTTGTTAACTGTGTTGTCCCTTACAGTCTGTAATTAAAATGTTCATATCACACTCGAAATTACAAAAATGTAGAGTATCGTCGACTCCTATGAAATAATCTATCAAACCCTAAACAGGTATTTTAAAAAAGGGGATATCTTGCACTCGAAATACTGTGCAAGTAAAGTACCTTTTGTCTCATGAAGCGGCCTGACTGACTTTTGTTAGCCCCCTCCCAATTTTGGGAGTAAATTTTGGGAGTATGGTGTAACAACACATCATAAGAACGAACTGTTAACATGCACACGAGTTAAAACATATTTAATAGAAATTTAGTTGTTTTCCTATCTACACTCATGTTGACTTTCGAAAATTTAATTATAGCTATATAGGTATAGGTGATATAATATACCTCGATTATTCAACCATGCCTTTTAATTCTATTTAAACAGATCGTATAAAGATTGAAATGTCAAACTTCTTCCGCGTTCTTCACAAAAAGCCTCGTTCGACCTTCCTATCTGGACAAAAAGTAAGTTATTTCATTTTTTAGAGTAATTACTTGGTTTTTACGTTTTAGTAATGATTTCTATGCATATATTCCCAATGTTCACGTACTTCACTACTGATTTCATAAAAGATTACCAACTGGTAAAGACAGGTTTACTATACATGAGGGGTTGGACAGGGGGGTACCCTTCTCCCACCTCCCGCCCCTATCTCCCACCTCTCACTTTTATAATCTTTTTTCCTCTCCCACCTATTTTTTGTCTCCCACCTCCCGCCCCCTTCCTCCCATCTCCCACCTCCCTCAAAAGCTGTCCACCCCCTCATATATATAATATTAATGGAAAATGTTACATGTTTTTGTAACTGTGGATAATTGGGAATAAAATGAATTTATTTGTATTCTAACAAACGATACACGTATAGCTTTAAAATTTGTACTTTCGATATAATGTAGGTTTTGGTTTGAAATGTATTTTTGTTTCTGATAATACTATTGATTTTTAATATAGTATCCATTATGCGGTTTAGTGTGCATACCTAATCAGAAATTCAGCAGAATGTTATTACTGCTTAGAGAACACACATTAAACTGTGACACAGTTAAACTTATCGAAGACTAGAAAAGTTTTATTAACCCCTGGTGTCAAGGAACAAAATCAGAAAACAAATGTTTTACATCTTTATTTCTGATAACTGGTGCTCATAATCATGAATAAAACCGGTAAATACCCCAAAAATAATAAACTTTTAGGGAATAAACCTGAAATAACATGAAGAAGGTCACCAAAACCATGAAAGATTAACCTACCAATTGAGAGAACCATAGAATTTAATGCATTTTAATAACAAGTATTTTTGGGACGATATATATTGGTACAAACTCCCACAACTATATTTGCTGTGAAAATAGAATAACTAGGTTTTCTCTCTCCCCTCCTCCTTATCTTCATTCTTCTCTCACTATCTCCTCTCTCTATATCATTCTCTTTTCCATATCTCTCTTTTTCATTCTTCTCTTCTTCTCTCTCTATCTCTCATCTTCTTCCTTTTCTCTTCTCTTTGTCTTCTCCTCTTCCACTATCTATTTCTCCACCTTTTCCCTTTTCTCCCCATCTCTCTCTATCTCTCCACCTCTTCATTCTCTTCCCTTTCTTTTTCTCCGCCTTTTTCTTTTTCTCTCATCCTCTCATTCTCTTCTCTTCTCTCCTCTCTCTATCTCTCGAAATTTCTCGCTTCTCTTCTTCCCGATTTCACTCACATCTAACAGAGTAACGTTTCATTACGAAATACAGGGACCGATGTTAGAGTGTATTAAGGCATGATTTCTATATCAAGTATACTTATAAAAGTAAGCACATAAAATGAAGTGGTTGTTATTATAATCAAAGTGTTTTGAGCAATGGAGTAACCTTTTTGTGTATTTATTCTTTAGAATTGAAAAAAAAGCTGATATTTGAATGTAGAAATGCATGATTTCTATCTGATGTATGGAGCAGCTAGCATACCAAATACAGTAATCATTCATTTAGAAATACACGTACTTTAGGTGACATATAAGTTTAACAAGACGTTATTTACTTTTCAATTACTTGAGCAATAGCGCTATCTTTTTAGATGTACAGTAGCGTATATAAGAATGGAAGATTGACTAAATGATTATTTCTTGTTGATCGTCCAGTTTCAAATATTTCATTACAAAGTGATTTAGCAGGAAACACATTTAATGAAGTAACTTTTTTTAAATGAACAGATATTACAGTGCAAGAGGGGATGCTTCTTCACCTAGAATTTTCACATGTAGTTACATATATATATATATACATATATAATTATGGAGTATGCATTTTGTAGAAATAAATACAGAAACCGATACTAAAATGTAAGAGAGCATGATTTCTTTATCTAGTCTTTTGAGCAGATCGGGTATTGTCTACCCATGCACTTTTGTAGAAGTAAAGAGACTGGTGTTATAATAAGACGGCGATATTTCTTTATCTAGTATTTTGAGCAGTGAGTGTATATAACCTATCCATTTTTTGAAGTACAGAGACCGCTATTACAGAGGGGATGTCAGATAATCAAAGTGGTAAACCATACCTACTAATTAGAAAAGTGATTTTTCAAGTGTATTTTAAAAAACACGTTTTTTTTTCTTTTCTTAAAAATACAAATGTCAGACCGTTGGAATTCAGACTAGTATCAGTCAGTTTTAGCTCCCTTAATCAGCATACATTGTCAATGATGTTTTTACTTGCTCCTTGTTTTTAATGATTGTTGTCATAATAATAATTGTTGACGTACACTTGTTTTTTCTTTTTTAATATTAAGAATAATTTTCTACTGAACATCCTATCGGGGGATTTTATAGCTTACGGTACGAACTTTGCTCATCGTTGAAGGCTCATTGTTGACCTTGTCCTTTGGAGTTAATAGATAGTTATCCTATTGGCAATCGTACCACATGTCCGTATTTCATATCATACCACATGTCCGTATTTCATATCATACCACATATCCGTATCATTTTATATCATACCACATGTCCGTATTTTATATCATACCACATGTCCGTATTTTATATCATATCACATGTCCGTATTTTATATCATACCACATGTCCGTATTTTATATTATATCATACCGACCCCCAAGGGTGACTGGGGAATAGAAGTATGGTCACCATTGGTCTTCCTCCGACCGGCAGTAAAACCCTTGCTAAAGTGGGACGTCCGTTTGGCTGTGCGGGATGTACAAATTTGCAGCCACGTCCGGTCAGAATGGGGACGTTAAATCCGATGCCGCGTGTGAAGAGAGTGCCTTACTCTTTGCACGTTAAGAACCCTTGCAACAACTCTTTGAGGGGTCCGTAGTTGACCTGTTGCAAGGCTAAATTTCTGTCCCTATCCAATATACCCTCATTTCCCGTGGCAGTCTAAATTTCTCCGACCTTAATCCCGGAAGCCCCTATTACAGAACCTACTATTTATTTATTGTTAAGTTGTTCTCGTCCTGAATATGCACGAAATATTTGCCACTGAACGTTAAGCAACCAACAATCAATCAATATATCATACAGCATGTCCGTATTTTATATCGTACCATATGTCCTTGTTTTATATCATACCACATGTCACATGTCCGTATTTCATATCATACCACATGTCCGTATTTCATATCAAACCATATGTCCGTATTATATATCATACCACATGTCCGTATTCTATATCATACCACATGTCCGTATTCTATATCATACCACATGTCCGTATTTCATATCATACCACATGTCCGCATTCTATATCATACCACATGTCCGTATTTCATATCATACCACATGTCCGTATTCTATATCATACCATCGTCAATATGTTTACTGTGACGGTTACCATCTTTTGTCTTTCATCACATTTAAATTCTCCCTCGCCTGCTCGTCCGAATTTAAAGCATTTCTTTAATAATTTCTTCGTAAAAAAAAGCCAAAACTCTAATATAGGTTTGGTTGCTCGCAGTAATTTGTTCTTTTCTCTTGCAAACAATGTTTAATAACACAATATTATAATATAAATGAACAACAATATTCAAATTCACATTTGCATACAAGAAAATTATCCAACATATCATTATATAATTATATATAAATGAACTCAATCTCTATATGATCCATATTCATATATATGACAATAAGCGGTAAACTGTATGTTGTAGTTACTGTGAGCACCAACAATTTCTTTATATAATATAACGGAACCCCACCCTTTCAACCGCCAAAAGTTTTCACGTGCATATATAACCAATATATCTAAATCCAAAATAACAATAACCCGTTTTACAACTACTCTAACCAGTTTGAATATATATAAATGTATCTAACACAGGAAAATCCCTAAAGTCAAAGGGAAAAATATATATATATATATTTATTGATAGTCATACCCGGGTTGTTTAACGTTATGATAGGGTCTTCCCCATGTATCAAAATACCATTACAAGAGGTTAGATTTGTATAGATAGAATTACAGTAACACTATCATAACAATGAAAACTGAATTGCTTCCTTACTTTAATCGTTTTCGATTGATATATACAATGTAATATACCTGTGAGCCCTTTTCAACAGAGCGTGGTTTGTATTTATTCAAATAAAAATTCGGTAAGCTTCCTCCTAAATAAACCATAACGGACTTTAAACATTAGTCATTTATGGACACTTGTAACGAAAGCGGTAAGACACCGACCATCTATCCTTTGTTTAGGGGGAGGGGTAAAGGGAACATTTTTTTTCAATTTTAATAAAAGCAAACTAATTTTTTTTTCTCAGCAATATACAGGAGCAATACGTTTTTTATAACTCAATGTTGAATTTATTTCCCCTTATCTAACCTCGCACGGGGCACTTTATATAAAAGAATCTTCGTATCCGTACTTCCTATATATAAGCGATTAATTCATTTCAAATTGTTCATTTCCTAACCGAAGTTAGATCTGTCACGTAGTGTTAATTATAACTTTCTATATTTAAAAGAAAAACTATATCACGTTAAGAGAATGTTAGCCTTAGTATAACCAAGATAACATATATACAAGGAAACAATGTTGGAAATCAGATAAAATATGGTATTTCACATTGTAAAAGATACCTTTTCGAATAAATATATTTCCAGTTCTTAAGGATGTTCTTGGGTGAAATTAAAAAAAAATCCAGAATTTAAAATTGATACTATAAATCAGAAGAGCATTAGTTAAAGAACAAAATAAGCTAAAAATATTGATAGGTTAATATGGAACTCCTATTTGAGATATCTTATTTTAAAAAAAAAGGCGGGAAAAGGCAGACTCGGACTTCTACCTTATATTTAGCATTGTCATTATTTGGGTCCCAAATCGTAAGAAAAAACTAGAATCTGCTTAAATTTTGGTAATGACCTTTTTATGAGCTATTGAAGTCTTCTTTGAAAAGAAAAGTGGGGGAAAATGTTTTAACCTGTATCTTAGGAAAAAACTCGAGTCCAAACATCTGAAAAAAATACCTAAACCTGACCCGAGTATATCCTTAAATCGAACAACTGTTTAAAAAAATCCATTCCAACATTTCCATAATCAATTTCTTTATTCAGATGGAGGACTCTAATAATGTTGAGTTTGAAACAGTACCAGACGAATACAGTGCCAGGAGTTTTTATGAACATTACAAAGATAATCTTCCACAGATGGTCATGGTAACTCAAGGATATATGGGAGAGGGTATATTTGAGACGTTTGACAGGGGACAGGTATGTATGATGGTGACACAGGGATATATGGGGAGGGTAACTTTGAGACATTTGACAGGGGACAGGTATGTACGATGGTAACACCGGGATATATGGAAGAGAGTATCTTTGAGACATTTGACAGGGGACAGGTATGTATCATGGTGACACAGGGATATGTGGGAGAGGGTATCTTTGAGACATTTGACAGAGGACAGGTATATATCATTGTGACACAAGGATATGTGGGAGAGGGTATCTTTGAGATAATTGCCAGGAAACAGGTATGAATGATGGTGACACAGGGATATATGGGAAAGGGTATCTTTGAGACATTTGACAGGGACAGGTATGTATGATGATGAAATAGGGATATGAAAGAGAGGGTATCCTTGAGAAATTTGAAAGGGGACATGTATGTATAATGATGACACAAGAAATGCAGGAGAGGGTATCTTTGAGACATGTGACAGGGGACATGTATGTATCATGGTGACACAAAGATATGTGGGAGAGGGTATCTTTGAGACATTTGACAGGGAACAAGTATGACACAGGGATTGTTAGGAGGGGGGTATATTTAAGCATTTGACAGGGGACAGGTATGAATAACGGTGACATAGGGAGACGAGGGAGAAGTATCTTTGAGACTTTTGCCAGGGGACAGGTATGTATAACAGTGACACAGGGATATGTGGGAGAGGGTATCTTTGAGGTATTTGACAGGGGACAGGTATGACACAGGGATTGTTAGGAGGGGGTATATTTGAGACATTTGACAGGGGACAGGTATGTAAGACGGTGTATTATGGTGACACTGGGATATATAAGAGAGGGTATCGTTGAGACATTTGACAGTTATGCATGATTTTGACACAGGGTCAGAGGGAGAGGGTATCTTTGTGACATTTGACACGGGACAGGTATGTATAATGGTGACACAGGGTAATATTGGAGGGAGTATCTTTGAGAAATTTGAGGGAGGACAGGTATGTATGATGGTGACGCAGGGATATAAGGGAGATGGTTCATATTGCTGAATCAGCATTGTTTTGAAGAAGTGTTTGATAGCTTATATTTAATATTGAACGCTGCCGTCTAGTTGATTTTTAATATAAGTTTGTAATAATGTAGTTTCAGAAATTTCATTATGTTTTCCAGTTCTAACATGTTTCCTTATCCTTCCTTAACTCTATAATATAAAAAGAATTCTGTTGTCTTGAGTTTATCCCAACACAAAAAGTTGCGTACGTAGGGTTCAATGTTTTTGATCCCTCCGTCCGTCGGTCCGTCAGTCAATCCTGTGTTTGTCATAGCAACGCCTACAAAACCACACAACAGAATTTCATGAAACTTGGTTGATAATATGCATATACTATGTAGATGTTGATATTAACAGAAAATTATGATCCCTTTTTTCTATGAGTTATGCCGTTTGAACCTTGAATTTTGGCTTAACTATACTACTGCAACAGTTTGTCTCTAAAAGAAACTTATTTTCAAATCGCCAAAAATATCGCAAGCTTGCGAAAATAAGTTGGTTTACAGTAGTTTACCACACGTGAAACGCATGCAACAAAGATTAGTGATAGATATTAGTATTTAATTTCATATTGTTTGTAATTAAAATACAATTGCAGGTTTTTAGAATACAAACATATACCAAACAGAAGAGAGTGATTGCGCTGGTTGTTTCCGGTGAAAAAGGAATGTACGGGTTACAAGGGAGACAAATCAGTATTCCCGCGGATTATGACGTCAAGTTCCACGTTTTGAAACTAGGAAAATTCAAAGGTAACTTTTAAGATTGGATAAGTTAGTGTACATGCATGGCAATTCGTAATGTTTATATAAAGAAACGTGACGATTAAAAAAAATACCATTAACCATGTATAGAATGAATTAAGAAATAAACAAAACTCCTACGCTGATGGCAGTATTCCACTATCTAGGATCAAATGCAAAATTATTGGCTCGCATTTTTGCTGAAAAAGCAAGTTTTGATGCAGAAATGCTACTTATGTGTCGGTATTTTCATTTCAATGAAGACATAAATATGTCGTTTTCCTATCGTAATACGTGTTTTGATATACATATATAAAAAATATTGATTACTTAAAACATTTAAAAACTTTGTTTAAAAGGAAACGTTAACTCGTGTAGTCTAGGCTCAGATTAGATCATTTATGTCGCTACGAAGTAAAACAAAAGAAAACAAGAATGGTTACCCCATTTTTCTTTTTATTTCCAGTAAGCATTTTTGAGAGCTGTCTTCTCATAGTTTAATTAAATAAAATCTGTTACTTTTTTTGTTTACATAAAAGTGTGTTTACCTTGTTATAGTATTTTTCAAACATTGAAAAATTTGCACCACATTGCAGTTTGAAAAATGCACTGTGTTACCAAATTAATCATTGTTTTTAGAAAAATACCACTGTATTGTTATACATTACATTTTGCCAAAAAAGAAAAAAAAAGTTTTTGTTCCCACACTATTTTGAACTTGCATACAAGGAAATTTATTTGAGAACGTTTTAACCCTATGAAAATTAATCCCCAGGAAGCTTTGCAGTCTCTTTGTATCAATAAAATGGATGATTAAGATTTCTGTTGCAAGCCGTTGAAGAAGTTATTTCTTATTTTTTAAGGATGTTCGCTACTCTGATTCAAAATAACAAACTTTTTAAAAGACTATTAAAAATTCATAGTATATAACTAACGGAACTAAAAAAAAACAAAAAAAAAACAAAAAAAAAACAAAAACAAAAAAACACAGAAACAAAGAAATGGTCCGTGTCCTTGTTTTAGAGATATAAGCCAATGAAAATTCGGCAGGAAATGATTCTCTTTAGATTTTTTTATACATTTAACATTGGCACCTTTTTTCTTTCAAAAACTATGATAAAAGTAACAAGAATTTTATGAGATTTCCAAATATGGCTATTTAAACTATGTGTAATAAATTATGAAAAGAGATATAGGGGTTAGCGGGCAAATTTTTTATTTGCACTACTTGGATTAAACTAGAGCTAGAGGATTCCGAATATCTGACAACAAGTCAGAAACAAGAGCAGCCAACATCCTTAATATTGAAAAATCATTGATGAATATTAAAATAATCATTTATCAATATCAAAGAATCATTTTCTAGTAAAATTTAAAAAAAAACCCAAGTTTTTGTGTATCCTTATTGTCAGTCAGTTATCAAGCAACATAAAACACTACCGAGGAAAATTTTGTAGAAAAATATAAAGTCCACTTATCATCTACGTTAAATGTACTTTCTTTCTATGGACACATTTCAGTCGGTAAACCAGCCAGTTTAAAAGAAATCTTGGAGCGCAAAGAACTCCCGTTGGATGTCCAATTTGCTGGAGACGAGAAAGTTTTAATTGGTTCGACAGCAAGAACAGCATCTTTTACCTTGACACTTGTCAATACATATGAGGATTTTTATCTGCTCGGGAATGCTATATGTGATGGTGAGTTTATTGAAATGTATACGCTTTGTTATACCTCATATGTACCGTATTTGGCCATGTATAATTCGTATTGACTCTAAAAATACAGATCCCAGATCCAAGCTTTGCAAGTTATTTTTTTCGAATGTCGGAGGCCCTCTTGACAGTCTCCCGATTGATACAAACATGAAAACCCGAACAGTTATAATAATTTTTGTTATTTTCAGAAGGTAACACAGATAACAATACAGTTAATCCACCCCCATTGCCTTCTACATCTACATGATATATTTACATACATACACAAAGATAAACAAAGCAAAATGTTGTTACACTACATGTGTACACGATTACATATATAGTACAGATAGACCAATACCACTGACATAAAAAAGTATGACTACAGTAAAGTTATAGCATTTTAACTACAAAAAGTTTCCTTCTTGTATCTTTAAGAGATGAGATTGACAGTTTGCTTTAAAATATTTACACTTTTACTTTCTTTCAAATTTAAAGGCAAAGAATTCCACAACAAGGTTCCAGAATACTTGAAAGTTCATTTACCATAATTTGTTCCATATCGTTGAACAAATATATTATTTTGGGTAGATAATCTTAATGCATATTTATTAACAGTTGAACAGCTTGAAAATAGTTCAGATAAATATTCAGGTGCTAGATTATTCATACACTTATATATCATCACTGCCATAAAATATTTAATTCTATTATAAATGGTAAGCAATCCTTGCTCTTTAAACATAATCGATGAAGAGATATCAAACCCTACATTCACAATTATTCTTGCTGCCCGCTTTTGTAACTTATATAGCTTTTCAATATTAGTTTTTGAAGCATTTCCCCACACGGAACAGCAGAAATCCATGACTGAGAGTATATATCCGTTATAATGAAGTTTAAGAGCACTTACAGGAAGATATGCTTTGAGTCTTCTCATAAGATGCAGTCTGCTTACAATTACTGCACAGAGTTTGTCAATATAATTTTCCCACGAAAGTGTTTTACCTATGTGGATTCCTAGCAGTTTTTGGTTATGAACGACGTCTTTTTTGTGTTCATCGTAAAATTTGATATATAATTCTGATTCAAAGGGATTTAGTCTATTAGAACAAATTATCATGACCTTAGTCTTATCACTATTCAATATCATATCATTATCATTGCACCAATTCATAACATTACAAAAATCTACATTCATAAATACATTTAAATCTGTTACCGATTGAGATGACTTATATAAGGTTGTATCATCAGCACAAAGCTCTGAAGAAACATTTTCAAGCACAAGTGATAAATCATTGATATTATGAAAAGTAAAGGTCCTAATTTAGAACCTTGTGGTACTCCTGATTGAACCTCTCGGAAAGGAGATTCAATATCATTGATCATTACCTTCTGAAATCTTCTTGATATATAAGATTTGAACCAATCAATAGCTTGATCATCACAATGATACATTTTTAATTTACTGAGTAAAATATAATGATTAACAATGTCAAATGCTTTTCTTAAGTCTAAAAAAAGTGCGCATGTTAAATTCCCTTTATCCATTTCACTTAACCATTCATCAATTAATTTCAGTAGGGCAGTGTTACATGAATGTTCAGATCTAAAGCCCGATTGCTGCCTTAAAAGAAGTTTTAATTTGACAAAATATGCATATAGTTGCTTAAATACCGATTTTTCGAAAATTTTGGAAATCGTCGGTAGTATAGATACTGTCTATAATTGTTCACACCAGTAGCATCGCCACCCTTTTCCACCAAATATCAAATGAAGTGAAAGTAAGCAATTATTAAAGGAAACCATACGGCCTTCAACAATGACACAAACCCATACCGTATAGTCGGCATGAAAAAGGTGAATTGGGAAAACTAACAGCCTAATCTATAACAAAACAATTAATGAAAACTTGAACCAACGAGTACCTCTAACTGAACTACATGCTCCTGACATGGAAAAGGCACATAAAGAATGTAACGGGGTTAACATATTTGTTAGCGCTCAACCCTTCCCCTAACGTTGGACAGTGATGTTACAACATAAAGCAAGAACAAATTGTAAAAATCTGTGGCAATAGTCATAACTCAATAGATCGGCACGAGGCACAAAAATGATAAATATCAAAACAATATACATAAAGCACAGAAATAATAGTCATTATCTATGCATGATTCGAACTCTGCTTTCTGTTTTTATAGTTGTGTATGTGTTGGAATGAATCTATTGTTTGATCGGCTTTTGTTTTGTGTTTTTTTTTTATATCTCTAATGGCAACCAATATAGGTAAACTTTATGTTAATCATTACAGGTAAACTTTGTGATAGTTATTACAAGTAAACTTTATGACAGTTATAATAGATAAACTTTTTGACAACCATTACAGGAAAACTTTATGGCAATTATTAAAGGTAAACTTTATGAAAACCATTATAGGTCAATTTTGTGACAATTATCACAGTTAAACTTTGTGACAATCATCAGAAGTAAACTTTATGACAATCATAAAGGTAAACTTTATCACAATCATTACAGGTAATTTTTGTGATAGTTATTACAGGTAAACTTTATGAAAATCATTATAAACAAACTTTTTGACAATCATTACAGGTAAACTATATCACAATCATTACAGGAAAACTTTATGGCAATCATTAAAGTTAAACTTTATGACAATAATAAAGGCAAACTTTACGAAAATCATTATAGGTAAATTTTGTGACCATTTTTACAGGTAAACATTTTATGACAATCATTACAGGTAAAGTTTATGACAATCATTACAGGATAAGTTTTTGGATTCTTAAAAATTCTAAAGAACTTCTGGACAATTTTAAATCTCGGTCTATTTCTGAAATTAATTCTAACATAACTTTTGATTTTTTAACCCTGTATACCAACATTCCCCATGTGAAATTATAAAATTGTTTTGAATAAACATTGAATGACAAAATTTCTTCTTATGTGACGTTTACATTTTCTGACGTCAGACACGCGAAGCAATGAATGTGGTTTTTAATTTGATATGGCTTTTTTGTAAATAATTGTTTGTTTTGATATTGTAACACAGTGATGACTGCTGTACCCATATTTTGACTATTTTATTTATAATGTCTGTTTTGTTCACGCATCGTTGTAAATATAACGGAATTTGATGAGACTGTCGTACAAGTGAGAGGTTTAGCGCTATAAAACCAGGTTCAATCCACCATTTTCTACATTTGAAAATGCCTGTACCAAGTTAGGAATATGACAGTTGTTGTCCATTCGTTTGATGTGTTTTGTCATTTGATTTTGCCATGTGATTAGGGACTTTCCGATTTAATTTTCCTCGGAGTTCGGTATTTTTGTGATTTTACTTTTTTTTTATGACAATCATTTCAGGTAAACTTTGTGACCATTTTAACAGGTAAACATTTTATGGCAGTCATACAGGTAAACTTTATGACAGTTATTACAGGTTAACTTTATGACAATCATTACAGGTAAACTTTATGACATTCATTAATATTACAGATAAACTTTATGACAATCATTACAGGTACACTTTATGACAATCAATATTGGTAAACTTTATGACAATTATTAAAGGTAAACCTTATGACAATCATTTTAGGTAAACTTTATGACAATCATTACAGGTAATCTTTATGTTAATTTTTACAGGAAAACTTTGTGACAATTTGTACAGGTAAACTTTATGACAATCATTACAGGTAAACTTTATGACAATTATTACAGGTAAACTTTATGACAGTGTTACAGCTGTTCCTGCATACCTACCTGACCTTAGGTTTTCTATTGTTAAATCTATCAAAGGATACAGCGATGACCAGTATAAGAACTTCATGTCTGTCACTGACCAGTTTGTAAAGGAACATATTACTTTTGACCAATCATTTGGTAACACAGGTAAGTAGCTGGTGCCTAAGTATCATACATGTCAGTAGCCCATACACAGCATGCTTAGTGATAATAAATGATAAAATTAGAATAACCCGTTATAAATTGTATGCGTCCGGAGCGTTTTCCTGTATTTACCTTCATCAGGAACACTGAAAGCCGAATATTTGAAAGCCAAGAATGCACGAGAAATGACAGTTGAAGAGCTTCATGACAAAACAGGCCAAATCCATCTAAAGCCAACTTTGATATTCGATAATCGGTCGTTTACTTTTGTAATACAGATTAGTAGCCATTGTTTTAGTATAAGCATGCGCACAACATACATCTTGATAGTAAACTTCCACTTCGTAAAATCATGTATTTCACTAAAACTATGGTGCAACTCCCTTATGATTGACTGTTACAGTAGACAAGTTTGACTGATTAGTATAAAATAAAATAACTAAAATACCGATCTCCGAGGAAATTCAAAACGAAAAGTGCCTAATCAAATGGCAAAATCAAAAGTTTAAAAATATCAAATGTATGGATAACAACTGTCATATTCCTGACTTGGTACAGGCATTTTATTATGTATACGTATTAGTAACTTGCATCATGGCAAAACATGAAAAACGATGAAAAGAGACAATAGTCTACCAATATTTACAACGACAACAACAGGCTGAGCAAGACAAATCCTACCAAAACAGTGGTTGATCTCGGGTGGTTCAGAATGGTAAAGAAATTTGCTTCCATTTAGCACCCGTTGTACAAAGTCATGGTCAATTCCCATTCGGTAGTGTCGACATCACAATCAATGAAAAGAGGGCGGAATTGTGACTATGAGAATTTGTACAAATCCGAGGTCATCATTGTCACTTATATTTTATAAAAGTCAACCAGGTCATAATGGCGTCTATAAAATGTTTGAAAGCTTCATTTTTAACAGCAGAACTCTATCAAGGAAATCTGTAAAAAATGTATGAGGGTCTAGATGGGGTTTTAATAATCGAGAATAATGTGCAAAAAGTAAAGAATGAAGATCCCTAAGTAATTAAAGAAGAGCGAATATTAAGAATCGTTCTAAAGGGTAAATATGGGGTGCTAAAATTTAAAGAATAGAGAATAATGGGGTGATAAAATGTAAAGCAAAGAGAGTAATGGGATGCTTAAATTCAAAGATCAGAGAATACTAGTATAATTATTAAAGAATGAAGAATCGATTAATTTCCATCCAGACATTCATGTATATTGGTTTATATTTTCAGAAATTGCCCTGTATTCAAACGAAAGAAGTCAGCAAGTTGAAAGTTCTATTGTAGAAAGTTATGCGTATATCTCACCATGTGAATACTATAACATCGGGGACCTTCTGAGACATGATAAACCAAAACCTGCCACCAAAAAGGGAAAGAAAGGAAATGAAAAAGTTTACGATGTCTTACGAGTTTCAAAATACGACAACCAAACTTACGCTTCCGTGGGTGTTGAGCAAACAGACACAGGTAGTCAGTCTATGAGTGGAAAGAAAAATGAGGATTCGATTCTAACAAACCGAATACCATATACTGATGAGAAGGGAATAGCAAATAAAGATAAAGATAACACCCAATCTGAGACCGTTAAGAAAGACCCACCACCCATACCCCCAAAACCACCTCAGCCAACAACGGGTCAATCTTCCAATATAACTGCAAAAACAGACACCGTTTTGTCTCCCGCTATCGACAACAAAACATATATGTGTACGTCACAAACAGAAGAAAAGGTAGACATTAAGGCTGATAACATTATATCTGTTGATACTGGTACACTGCCTGCTACAGTAGATACAAAGGAACCAGTTCCCCAAACGAAAGAACAGCCTAAAAGAAGAGAGCAAGAGGTAACAATATATATTTTGAAAGTGTTCATGCCTTGATAAAAAAGACTTACACTGGTCCAAACTTGAATGAAATAGAAATGGAGTGGGAAACAAAGAATTCCACTTAGACTGGTGTTAGGAGCCGGCTTTAACATTTTGTAACTCGACTTTGAGAGTCTCATTGTGGCTTTGAGATGAAGAATAACAATTAAAGCGCTGAACCTTGGCTTTTTGCTGCTGTGCATTTACTGATGTTTTGTCATGGATGGATGCACCGTATCCTTTCTTTTCTATTTAATTTTAAGATATAAACGGGTTTAATTGTGCTCAACATATTCGATGTTGTAAGTTATTCTATTCAATATATTTTATGGATTGATTCTGACTGAAATGTTTTTCGAATAGTCTTATCTTAATTTGTAAACTACATTGTTAGTAAACTCATTACTGGAGTTTGAAAAAAGTAAAATCACAAAAATACCTAACGCCGAGGAAAATTCAATACGAAAAGTCCCTAATCATATGGCAAAATCAAAAGCTCACATACATCAAACAAATGGATAACAACTATCATATTCCTGCCTTGGTATATGCATTTTCTTATGTTGAAACTGGTAGATTAAACCTGGTTTTGAAACAATCGCAGATTGTAACGTAAAAATCTTATCATGGGATATTTGTTTTATTTAAAGGAAGAAATGATAGATGTTGAGTTTGAAACTGCCAAAGAAGATTACAGCGCGAGGAGCTTTTATGAGCACTACAAAGATAACCTACCACAAATGGTCATGGTGACACAGGGATATATGGGAGAGGGTATCTTTGAGACATTTGACAGGGGACAGGTATGTATGATCGTGACACAAGAATATATATAAGAGGGTATCTTTGAGACATTTGACAGGGGACAGGTATGAATGATGGTGACACGGGAATATATGGAAGAGGATATCTTTAAGACATTAGACAGGGGATTGGTAAAGTTAAATGACCCAACGCTATAAAGGAGAAGATATCTGTAAGAAGTTGGACAGGGGACAGGAATTTTAGATGATGCAATCAGATTATCACATGTCATGTTTCATATCAGATGTTTTATCAACCCTCTCGAGTCTTCGGCTTTTGTGGTATGTTTACGGACGACAGAAGAAATACAGACACGAACTATTTTAAAACTTTGAAAAAGATGAATTCATTGTATCATTTGTTTTGCATTTCACATATCAATACATTTTTTCCTGTTTCCTAACATTTGTTTTATATCCTACTTTATTCTAATTTTTACTCATAAAATGCCATTGAGTTGTATTATCCTGAATTTGCCGAGTGACGTCGAATTGCCATGCGATAACGTTACGGAAAGGCAGGTGACAATAACGGGAAGCAGTTGATAATTTTTTTATATCAGCCCGCTAAGCACAATTTTGGAAACTAGTTTTAAATTAAACCTTTATCATATAATACAGAAAAATTGATTCGACTTTGTTATTTTTCATAAACTATCGCTTATACTTTTTGATTCATATTTCTGTATAAATAATCGAACAAATACATATCTTTCATTATTTTTATGTGCAAATGCCCTTCATAATAATAAGTTTCTTATGTTTTATTTGGATAGGTTTTCAGAATCCAGACATATTCTACACAGAAGAGAGTTGTTGCAGTCGTAGTTTCCGGTGAAAAGGGGATGTACGGATTGCAGGGAAGAAAAATCAGTATTCCTGCTAATTATGACGTCACTTTTCATATCATGAAACACGGAAAACCAAAAGGTGAGTGACGTAATCTTCAAATATAAATATTAATTGTTTCATTTTCTGATACAACTTCACAATTTGACAAAATTTAGCGTACTTAGGTAAAGTTATACAAGGTTTAATACTTGGGTGATCAGCAACTATGTCATCTCTCCTTAGAAATCTTTATAGTATTACACAAAAAAAACTGCTGGTGATTTGTCCATACACATTTCTTTGTATATTTTCTACTTTCCTTTTTAGCATGACTTTACGAACATTTATAAATACGATTTGTTTACAGGAAAGTCAATTAGGCTAAAGGAGATTTTAGAACAAAAAGAGCTTCCAATTGAAGTACAGATTTCTGCACATGAGGATCAATATGCAGATCAACAACATCTTGGTCCTTTACTAAGGACAGGTCTATTCACCCTCAAGCTCCTCAATACGTACGACGATTTCTTCCTCCTTGGAAACGCTATCTGTGATGGTAAGTGTGCATCCCAGATTACAGTGATTGTGTGTCTACTTTTCTTATTGATCACGTTAACTTGTTGGTTGCAAAACCCATTGAACTTAAGATCTTTGATCAGTACTTGTTTTGCTGAAATATATACTAGTATATTGTTTCATTACATTCGGCATTAACGACTATTGATGTGTTGTGGTCAGTAAACTTATATACTGATGAATATAGATAGTAGTTTTCAATTAATGCAATTTTGTTGACAATTATTCCTCCCTCAACATTTTGGAGGTCAACGCACACAAATTCCTTTATGAATCAACCTAATTCTTAGAATTACTGTAGGCTTGAGAAAAAAAAAATTCTGAATAAACTTCATTTTCTATAACTGTAAAGTTTTTCATAACGATCTAGTCTTACGGACTGCACTGTTAGTTGGGTTCTCCTTTCACAAAACTGCTCAAAAAAAATTTAAGGATACATTACTGAAATCAACACTACATACCATCTATAAATGGTTGATATATTTTAGCAGTCTTTAGAGTTTTAGACTCCATAGTAGTTGTCTATTCTATAATTTCACTGCATGACCTATCAATACATGTGGCATTTTGACGGAATTTGGATTCGCATGGCGGGTGATGCGCCAACTGTCGCATCTGGCTCGCTATTTTGTTTTTCAGATTAGTTTGCGACCTTAATCTATCTTCTAAATCGATTGATGAGATTTGAACAGAGGTTAACTAATGTCATATGCAGTGTGTACCCCATATTATTATTTTGACAGTCTTATAAGCCTTACAACCTGTTTGACTTACAACAAAGCAACTTATGGAAAATCTCAGCCAAAATTACGTCATATTAAACACTATCTTAAGCCCGTGATTATTAAGAAATGCAAAACATAAAATAGTGTTAGACAGGGTATGATTGTCTTATAGCTTTTTCATTAGTTTGATGTAGACTTATGATACCTTTATAGCTATCTGATCGGTAATTTTGTCGATCATATCTTATTCGATTATGATATTTTAACTGTGTATAAGACGGATGTTGCATGCATAACAGAAGACTTAAATAACATGCAATTATCACAGTATATATTCGTTACCTTGATTTGTCTTTTCCTAATCGATATCCGGGACTATCGGTAAACTACTGTTTTAATTTATGACATGAACAATAATTTACAGGAATTGTGTAGTTGGTTATACTTTTATTAATGCTTTGTATGTATTTTTTGTTGTGTTTTCAATTTTCCTCCTTTTAACTTGAAAAATGAAATCATTCATGTCATTGAAAACTAAAAATGGAAAATAAATAGTTGGTTAACCTTCACTACAAAGGTCGTAAAGTCTGAAAAAACAACTTTTGTCTGAATTTGCATGAATTTTTACTCGACATTCTCTCTGTTTGAAATTTTTGTAAAAAGTCTGAATTTGTCTTAATTAGTTACCAGGCTTATAAATTGATACGCCAGACGCGCGTTTCGTCTACATAAGACTCATCTTAAATAAGTACTAGTACTTGGTTTGTCTTGACATATGTTTTGACCTTATTAACATTGTCTTAAAATTTCTCGATACTTTCTCAACAATCTGATATGTGTCTTGATTTGTCTTGACCAATTCTCAACTGTCTTAAATTCGTTTCGATAGTTCTTGGCATATTATTGACATTCTTAATGATGTCTGAATATGTCTCGAAACTTTCTGGACAGTCTTAACGATGTCTGAATATATCTCGACACAATCTTGATGGTCTTAAAGATGTCTCGACACTATCTCAACAGTATAAATTGCATCTGAATTGGGTATAGACACATACCAGACACATACCTGACAGTTTAAAATTTTTCTATGCTGTTTTATACTCATTTCTATAACCGCTAAACTAAACTTAAAAGAATTAGGATACAGTAATACATTGCTTATTATAACAAAAAAACAAAACAACATTTTGGTACTATAATTTTTTTTTTACCATGTTACCGTTGAATATTAAACATGAAAAATGAAATATGTCTACAGATTTATTTTAATCATTTAGTAATTCTTCCTAATATTTATAAGGCAACATTTGTAATAATTTACAAACCCTCATTTAAATTGGTTTATATCAACATACTCACATTTGTATTTGTTAATTTTTTCATACCCATGTTTGTATTTATGAAAGTTTATACATACCAACAATTTTAGTTATGAAAATATTTACATGCCCAATTTTTGGATGCAATAAGTATAACTTGATATAATAGTATATTCTATAAAGAGAAATAAATCAACAGATGTATCATGTATATTGGTCATGATTTGTAAAGCTCAGAATTGTCATGTAAATTTAAGACACAATTACATATGTTCAGAGTATGTCGAGCCATACTGAGAAAAAAAAAACGAAAGTTGAGAACCTGTCAAGAAATATCAAGACAGTATTCAAATGTGGGAGAATTTGTCAAGAAATTTCAAGACCATATTCCATGTATTCGGAATGTCAAGAATATGTCGTTAAATTGCATACAAATTTAATATAAATCAGAAATTGTCAAGAAACATTAAGACACAAGTCATACTATTGGAGAATGCCAAGTAATTTTTCATGCAAATTGAAGCAAAAATTTGTCTTTTCATATTTTTAAACTTTGTGGTAATTTTACGTGTAAAAATGTTTACGGATATTGTCACAAGCAATAGCGAGTTTTGTGTAACAAAAAAAAATATGGACAATTATTTATGATCAATCATTGAAATCTTGAAGATGATCTCTAACGGTAACCTTTTGTATTACATAATAGTAAGATTTACCTTTTCAACATCATGAAACAATATTAAATTTCAAATTAATGCAGATACTAATATATTTCATGGTAGTTGTTTTTAAACAACAAATTAGTTCGAAGGATGATATTTCAGTAAGCTTGATTTCCTCATCATGTTCAAAAGACTGTATTCATTCATTTGGTCTTTTTTTATGTAGCTAGAAAATGAATATGGTTACCCGATTTAATCTTTTTCTCTTTTTTAAACAGATATTTTTGGATAAAAAATAATTTTCCCCAAAATGTTATCAATTATTTTTCCCGTTCAAATTATGTTTACAAAATGCTTATTAGCCATATCATTGTATTTCCGGTTTTGATTTAGAATGCATCCTTTTGTTTCATTCTACAGGAAACTTGTATGGTAGTGTAACAGCAGTCCCTGCTTATCTCCCCGATCTGCAGTTTTCCATAGTAAAGTCTATAAAAGGTTGCACTATTGAACAGTACCTCCATTTCCTCTCTGTCACAGACCAGTTTGTCAAAGATAATATAACATTTGACCAAACATTTGGCAATACAGGTATGAAGACCGTACTTGGACCTATAATGGTTTACCTTTACAAATTGTGACTTGAATGGAGAGTTGTCTCATTGGCATTCATACAACATTTTCTTATATCTATATGATGTCAAGGGTATCAAAACAATGAAAAAAGAACTTTATATATTGTATGTGTCCGGCTGCTTTCTTGGATCAACCGTCATCAGCAACGCTGGAAGCCAAAACGTTGAAAAACAAGGACGTATAAAAGAATAACAAAAATACCAAACTTCCATGTAGATTCAAAACGGGAGTCCAGAATTGATAAAATCAAACGCTATCAATCAACGGAAAAGTGATAAACAACTGTCATATTCCTGACTTGGTACAGGCATTTTCCGAAGAAAATGGAAGGTTGAACCTGGTTATATAGAATCCAGAAACAAATGACAAAATCAAACGCTATCAATCAACGGAAAAGTGAAAACCAACTGTCATATTCCTGACTTGGTACAGGCATTTTCCGAAGAAAATTGAAGGTTGAACCTGGATTTATAGAAATCCAGAAAAAATCAAAAAATCAAACGATATCAATCAACGGACAAAATGAAAACAAACTGTCATATTTCTGAATTGGTACAGGCATTTTCCGAAGAACCTGGTTTTATAGCTAGCTAAACCTCCCACTTGTACGACAGTTCCGCTATATTGATAAAGTTGGGTAGGCAACAGAAACCACACATTATAGGTTAATGTTACAATATTAAATTGGGATATGTATAGGTAATGAAATACTTGAAGAACTATGTCATTCAAATTGACCTGAAAATAAAAGCCAAAACTATCTACAAAACTGCACCATCGAGTAAATAGGGTTCTCTCGGAATCCTTGTTAGTTTATTTATCTACATGTATAATGAATAATGAAAAACTAAGGTGTTAAATAAATATCTCAGATATACTGTACATTGCAAATGTCTTGTTATTAATTACAACTACTCAATTAATCAATTAACAAGTCTTTACACCACTTTCGAAAAATATCATAAAATGTAAAGGGCTTAGGGACCAGAGTTAAACCCCATTATAAATCTGAGAACTTTGAAAAACATATGTTCACTGAAATCCTTTGTGTCTTCAAGTCAAAATAGTCTATTATGTTTTGTAATTCTTTGGAAGAAAAATTGTTCAATGTAATTGAATACGACTTTTCAAATATTTAGTCCTATCCAATCCGGGAGCTAAGGCGTATCATATGTTAAGAACATGTATCTGTCCAAGCAGAAAAGACGTCGTTCTGTCTAGTTGTCACGGAATAGAAGTTCCTTCATAATATAAGTTCTAAATGGAAACAATATTCTGGAATATTATTTCCACTGGAATAAATATAACAGTAAATGTTCCTAACGGAATAAATGGTACAGAACATTTGTTCCAACAGGAACAAATATTATGACATTGTTTATAACAAAGTTTCCAGTGGAACTTCTGTTAGGCGAAACAAATATATGTAGACATATTGACTATTTTAAGATGACACCACGGAATTAAATGAGGATGCAGTAGTTCAGCCATGTTTAGTGGCTATTTCAGGACAGAATTTTAATGAACAATTATTACACCAGGGTTTTCGATATCACAAACTAGTCGAAACATTTACTACATTTTATCATCGGTACAAGGACATCATTCGTAAATATAAATCAACATGCAGACATCTTATACGTTCAGGTATTTCACATTAAATCTTTTATGGTTATATTCTTTACAAAGCACAAACATTCCGGCATTCACCTCAAAAGCTAACAAAACCTTTTAACAGACTTATTAAGAAGGGATATAGTAACGATACTGTTGTCAGGTCATTGTCATTAAGGATGGCATATTTTGGTTTTAATATTAATTCACTTATAGGGTCTTTGCATCGGAAATAAACACATTTAAAAATGTATTCTAAAACCAGTTGTTGGCATGAAACGGGTTATGTTCTTCTCGTATATTTTATGATGGTATGATACTAAACCCCTAACGGGAAGGAATGTGCTCGATATTCATATGATGAAGACAATCAGTTTAATTGAGGTCTGGAGCTGGCATGTCAGTAACTGCTAGTAGTCCTTTGTTAATTTATGTATCATTGTCATTTTGTGTAGTTTCTTTTGTTACCTATTCTAACATGGACTCGGACTTCTTTTGAACTGAGTTTTACTGTGCGTATTGCTGTGTTTTTGTTTTTTTCTACATAGGCTAGAGGTATAGGGGGAGGGTTGAGATCTCAAAAAACATGTTTAACCCCGCCACATTTTTGCGCCTGTCCCAAGTCAAGAGCCTCTGGCCTTTGTTAGTCTTGTATGAGTTTTAATATTAGTTTCTTTTATATATTTTTGAGTTTAGTATGACGTCCACTATCACTGAACTAGTACATATTTTTTGTTTAGGGGCCAGCTGAAGCACGCATCCGGGTGCGGGATTTACTCGCTGTATTGAAGACCCATTGGTGGCCTTCTGTTGTTTTCTGCATTTTGGTCGAGTTGTTGTCTCTTTGACACATTCCCCGTTTCCATTCTCAATTTTATTTGAAAAATGGATGGTTATGGCAAATCTTATATTCTAAATTCGATTTACTTTGTCCACTAAATTTTGGTACACGTCTCTTCTATTGACCCTCCCGTGCGCATATTCCTAAAACAAACATGCACTTTAATCGTGTTGTTGATATCAGATATCGCGCACTATTCTCTCTCGAACTTTTAATTGTGTTGTTATTAACAGATATCGCCCAGTAACCACCGGAACGCTATTTTTGTATAGCTATGAACAGATATCGCGCTATACTCACATGCACTTTAAGTGTATATTGTTATGAACAGATGTCGCGCTATTACCTCTGGAATATTATTTTGTATAGCTAGGAACAGTAATCGCGCTATACTCACATGAGCTTTAATTGTATTGTAATTAACAGATATCGCGCTAAACTCACCTAAACTTTTATTGTATTGTTATTTACAGATATAGCGCTTTACTCTCCTGAACAGGCACATGCTGAAGAAAGTTATTCGTATATATCACCCTGTGAATATTATAATATTGGTGACCTATTAAGGAACAACAAGGCAGAACCAGTCGTCAAAAGAGAGAAACAAACAGACAAGGTATTGATATGATATGAAATATGAAATCACATTAGTTCAGTCACAAATCATAAGTTGATTAAAAACAGACCACAGCCTAGCAAAATGTAATGAACAGGCGAAAAACGAAAGTCACAACACACTGCAAAGAAAACCAAACATTGAGCTAATGATGCACCACGAAAAGACCAGGATTGAGGTCAAGTGATGTAAAAGGTTCTTACAAATATTCCTTATAGGAGTTAACTAACAATTTCGTCCATTTTACCTTTGTAGTAGATCTTGCTCTGCGAGTCATTCGTACCAGTTCCGTTTATCTCGATTTACTATCTTTCTACTATAATTAAAAAAAAAAACAATTGGGTAAAAGGACGAATTCGATTTCGGCCATGCAAAATTATTTGAAGATCTTTTAAGCTGGTAAATGTTGCTGTTCACAGTTTCAATTTCTCGTCTGTAGCTTTTGCAGCACAACAAAAAAGGATAAACTTAAGTTTTATTTTAAAGTTAAAAACTCCTGTAATTAGTCACTTGATGATTTTGGCCATGTAACTTATTTGTATGTCGTGTACTGTTGATCATTTTTGCCATTTATACACTTTCCATCCATATAGTATAGTATAGCCAAAATCGCCCAAAATAGTGAAAATCGGCACTTAAGGGTAATAACGCGGATAAATCATCTGACAGTCATAGTTTCAAGAAATGGTAGGTAGATATTGACATTCTGAAACATTTTCTGCTTCGCGATACTTTCTTTATCTTTAACGGTATACTAGATAAATACTTGCATTTTACCCTTGTGTTTTATGTCATATATTTGGACATTCTTTTAAACTAAAAAACACTAAGGGTGATCGTGGTTAGATTTGGTTGACAGATGATTAACACCAACTGATAAGAAAAGCTTACACGTGCCCTTTGGGCCAATGGAATGAAAAGGAGATAGTGTGGGTACAATGAATATGTCTTTAAAACCACAAGCCATTAATTCAACAGAGCAAATAAGCATTCTATAACATTTTACCATTGGTCTTTTTTTTATGCATAATGAGATAGTATACTTTACTCTAAAACGTGGAGAGGAGGGTTTATAGGTGGTGATGGGGTATATTTGGCTTTCTTGCAATCACCTTGTATATCTGTCCTTCCGTTTTTCCATCAACTGTTGTCGCCAAACTTTTCTCATACTAACAGAAAGATTTCCTTGTTGATCAACAGCTTCATAGTGAAGAGGAGTAACATGTGAGCTCTTTTCAGATCAGTCTGACACGTACTTCCAGATACTTTGAATAACGAGGGGGGTGCTATGCTTACGACAACTCTTGCATTCTTCTCATACATGTTATAATGAGGATTTATTGACTTTTGTTTGTTTTGAAAAACCATAAACCATTTCAAGAATACCTCAGTTCTATTGAACATTGAACGATATCATCACAGTTCACGGTTTCCTGCTTAACTTTAATATCAATATCGAGTTATTGCGGTATAAATAAAAATATGAATACCATAAACATGTATAAAAAATTTCATTTTAGGTGTATGAAGTTATCCGAGCTTCTACAATATCAATGAACCAACAGGAAAACCAGTACGAAGTTACAATATTCGGCAAGAAAACAGGGACTTCCAATAATCCACAATTTGATTCTAATACAATTAAAGACGCTAAAAAGCAACTGAGGAATACCGGTCGTTTTGAATTGGCTAGAACGGATCAGAATACAGGGACAGGCAAAATTGACGAGCTAAATGTAGGAAATACGCTTCTATCATCGGAGACAAACGATACACTAAAGCAAACAGATGTATCAGTCAAACAAGAAAAGGTCTCATTAGAAAAAACAAGCATTACAGAAAATACCGATTCCTTTTCTGACTTAACACGTAGGCTAAAACCGACAAGTTCACAAAATGCTTCGGACGTACCTCCTCGTATCCCTGAGAGGCGGTCAATCGTTGACAAAATAGGATTAGTTCGTCCCTCTCCATCAAGTAAATCTGCAACCACACCGGTTCAAATGTCACAAACATCGGAATCGGAAATAATTGTAGATGTCGCTTCGTTAACAATAGAGGACGTTGGCGAATGGTTAAGGAAATTGAAACTTGAAAAATATTCGGATGTGTTTGAAGAAAACCAGGTCGATGGTTGTATTCTCATGTCAATTGATGAAGACATGTTAAAAGAGGATTTCCATATGAGTCGATTCGAAGTCATGAAACTGATGAAATTTGTAAGAACTGGATACGTTCCGCGTACAAGAACGACGGAGAGTTAACTCCATCCAATATTTGGATAAAATGTCATCATATGAATTCTTATTCTAATCATATATATGGATACACAACAGCTAGAAAACGTGTTTAACTAATAGTTTTTGAGTAATAAATGCCAAATGTGATATGCAAAATAATACAATTTGACAAATTCAATCGGTAACTGCTACTCTGGTGCTTTTATGTAGTAAAAATGTAATTTGCTTTCATCCTGGTTAAACCATTATGTTTTATTTATACAAGAAGTATGTCATTGAACATGTTGAAATCATTAGCAAAAGTAAAAAGAAATGTAGTTGATGTCTTATAAAAATAATAATGATTTTATATTACTATTAATTTTAATTCTTTGCGTGCAGTTGTTATTCTGGTTTTTCAAAGAAAATGCTGCAAAACCTTTAATGCTACAATTTTTTTTTGGCCGAAACGTATTCTGTTGCAACTTTTGTAATAATAAAAACATCGTTAATATTTCTTAATATACAGTTTAAAGTGTTTTAAAATTTGCTGACACGAATCCGAATTGTTGTCTATAGGATTTTGTTCGGATATGAGTTCTATCGCCATTTCACGAACAGAAAACTGATGCAGATGGAAAAGACGATTTATTGAAACTAAAACATTCCATGCTATAAACCCGTCAAATTAGATTTGATGTATTATTGGTAAAAAGTCTAAACAAATCAATTATAATACAAAATAATGACTCAAATTATTAAACTGCTCACACAACTAGCCGCACTATTTTGCTTTTCGTGTAATCCAGATTAGATTCTATATTTTACATGTGGAACAGGATTTGCTTACCCTTCTGGCGTACCTGAGATCAACCCCGGTTTTTGGAGGGGTTCGTGTGGCTCAATCTTAGTTTTTCCATGTTCTGTTTTGTAGACTGTGATTTTTCTTTTGTCCGTTTTACGTTTTGTTGCCATGGGTTTGTTTTCGCCTAAGTTTTTAAACTCTCTTTTCTTTAAAGCCAAATAATAACTAAATCTGATACTTAAATGTTAAGATTGTAAGATGTTAGTTGTCATAATCCTCATGACTCATAATGTTCCTGACGTTGACATTGAGTACTGTCCCACATGTTCACTTTGGTTTACATGTCTCTGGAATTACCCGTTTTGCAAAATGCCTGACAGTAACGTCGACTTCTGTCTTGCATGTCAACCTTGGTTTACATTTATCTGACATTACCCATGTTTGTCAAATTTATAACGATGATACGGACTACTGTGTGATTATCCGTCATCAATTTTTTGACATCTGTTTTGTCATTTTTATATTTGTGACACTGACAACTGAATATGTCACTGGAAATCGTAGGAATGAGGCATAGCTTTTTGCTACTCGGACAATTTAGGTATAATACACTGTTGAGTGCCTTAGAAATCGTTTTCTTCCAATCGAATGTATGTGTGTTTATATCTTGTTATTTTGACTGACATCACTTTAGTTTTTATTTCTCTTTTTTTTAATGTTCTTTTGGCCATTCGTTGGGTTGCATGGTGGTTGTATGAAAATTTTGTGTCACATTCTCAAGGTAAGCACAAACTTACACATTCAAGAGTCAATGATGTGTACATACTTTAATACGCGAGAAGCTTTATAGCCACATAAAATAGAATATTGAAAAAAAATCAAAATAATGCCAACTTAGGATTAGAGAGTTGGAACTTGAGTGTCATTATAATTGATTCATCAACGGAACATTAAAAAAAAGTATGATATAAACCTTGAAGTACAGAAGCACTGATTACTGAGCTGTTGATACCCTTAAGACTAACTACCACCAATCATTGATATCTGCCGAGTGCTAGTAAATACAAATAGAAGTTTGACAAAGTATGTGCGTCAGACGCGATGTCCTAAATTGTATCAGGAACACCTGAAAAGTAATCCAAAATGCATCAATCGCCCCGGTGTTTGGTAGGGTTCGTTTTGCTCAGTCTTTAATTTTCTGTGTAATGTTTTGTTATCAATGTTGTCATTGGAATTATTATTTTCGATTAAAAAACTTTATTAAGTTCGTGCGTCCGACGCTGTCCTAAATTTTATCAGGAACACATGAAAAGACGCTGTCCTAAATTGTATCAGGAACACATGAAAAGTGTAATTCAAAATGCATCAATTGCCCCGGTTTTTGGTAGGGTTCGTGTTGCTCAGTCTTTAGTTTTCTGCGTAATGTTTTGTTGAAAATGTTGTTCATGTTGTTATTGGACTTATTATTTTCAATTAAAAAACTTGATATTTTCCTTCTATTCTAATTGAAATCAAACCATTGAACTGCTGTCATTCTTAAAGTCGAACAGTCCACAACAGGGATGCATGTAAAAACATAATGTAATTGTGCTTATCATAAATGCAACGGTACTAATATATACTTTGGTTACCACCGTAAGCACAAACGACGAAAAGTAGTTAACAAATGTGCTTTACTCTGTATTGTATGGCGGAATCAACCCTTTTATTTTAATCATTTCTACGAACTGAAAAACAAGATTCCAAACACAAGCTACAAATATAAAATGTAATGTTTATTTAGAAAACAAAAACACATCTATATATTTTCAAAAACACTATAAAGAACCAAGTATCAAATATGATTGTTGTGATATAAAAATCAATCATTGGCCATTAGTGCAAATTTCTAGACGGCAGAGCCAGATCTACATATATTTATACACAACAAAACTTAGAATATATATTTATTAGATATGATTAAACTAAGATACATACTACATGATATACACACAATAAAATAAACATCATTTGGCGTTTAGCCGTCTCGGTTGTTGTCACAGTTATTGATTAGTCGTGATTGATTAATTCCCAAGCTTGAGAATCATATCAATCGGAAGATCTGAGTTCATGCTTGAACTTCTGAATAATGATAGGACACTAACTTTAAGTTCATGCTTGAACTTACTGCTGGACCTGTTCTTGTTTATGACTACAAGCATGTAGATCAAAAACGTCAGTGATAGAAGTCCATGCATGGACTGACGTCAGGACTGACTTAGAACAGGGATCTGTTGGTAGTAGTGTCCGGAAACTTCTAGCATGTGTCTGGTCTATTTAAATGTTAACCAAACTACTGCTATAAGTCCCATTAACTGTGACAAGCAACTTATACATCAATAACTCTGCATCAAATTTGGGGAAATTGAGTTAATAATAACGAAAATATGCTGACCTAAAAGATATTATATACCGAGACAGCACTTAAATAGTACATTATAAATCTCTAAATATAATGAAACAATGGTGGCGGTGGGGAAGGTGGTGGTTAGTCTATATAGAATCGACAACACTACTCCATTGCAAATTAATAATGGCATAGGTCACGTGCTATATGACTTCACTCTTCATGCATGAGGCACCCTAAGGTGCACGTGGAAAAATAGTTTTGTGTGTATAAAAACAATTTATTTAAGTGAACCTATATAAATAACCCTTTATACACAACAAAACTTAGAATATATATTTATTAGATATGATTAAACTAAGATACATACTACATGATATACACACAATAAAATAAACATCATTTGGCGTTTAGCCGTCTCGGTTGTTGTCACAGTTATTGATTAGTCGTGATTGATTAATTCCCAAGCTTGAGAATCATATCAATCGGAAGATCTGAGTTCATGCTTGAACTTTTGAATAATGATAGGACACTAACTTTAAGTTCATGATTGAACTTACTGCTGGACCTGTTCTTGTTTATGACTACAAGCATGTAGATCAAAAACGTCAGTGATAGAAGTCCATGCATGGACTGACGTCAGGACTGACTTAGAACAGGGATCTGTTGGTAGTAGTGTCCGGAAACTTCTAGCATGTGTCTGGTATATTTAAATGTTAACCAAACTACTGCTATAAGTCCTATTAACTGTGACAAGCAACTTATACATCAATAACTCTGCATCAAATTTGGGGAAATTGAGTTAATAATAACGAAAATATGCCAAATACAGTTGATGACTGGTAATTAAAGGAGACAACTGAACCCCAAATGAAGATGGTTACTGTAAATTCAAATTAATATGAATTCATTAATGCGACTGAGTGAGTATGGCAATGATAAAATTTCGCATTTAATAGATTTCCTGAAATCGCAATGATAAATGCACGCATTAATTTCTGAATTTACAGTATCTCTTGAACAAAGATTTGTAACTAAATTAATATATCTCAATATGTGAATTAATATACAAATAAACGTTATATCAAATGCGAATAGATAAATAGCAATTAAAACGTCCATTACTAATCGTTTATTAGTATGTAACTTAGGCGTGCTGGAAAACATTGTAACATTTAGTGATAGCGCAAGTGTTCTGATTAACTACTGTTTATCTCAGCGGGTCGTGAGAAGAAATGTTACGTCTTGATGAAATTGAAATGTTCTACTTGACCTTAACATGACTTTCAGAAACATGTCAATGAACTCTTGATAATAATGTTCTCTGCATCGGCTATACTATAATGTTCTATAATGTACATAATTAATCAGTAAGTGCAAATATCAAAACAAAATCGGGAACTGTCATACTGTATAACGTGGTCTCAAATGTTCAACCATTGTCTCATTCAATGAAAATGTTGCGTCACTGATTGCGGTTATTAACAATTCGTATATGTTTAGCAATTAATATACACATAACCAATGTAGACACAATGAGCACAATGATACGTCAATATTTATTTACATAATATGGGGATTATTATGCCCCAACACTATCTAAATATACTTTAAACCAATATCAGATTCAAACAATGGGGATTATTATGCCCCTGAAACACTTAGTAAAAACGCAATTGATGGTGTTGTGTTGACCGCGTATAGACGATGAACTGACATGTGGTAATGAACAGACTATATATAATCTAACGCACTAACAATATTAAATCAAGATGAAAGCGTATGCGATTTAAATATTCCTATGTACAATATGTAAACACTAAATCTTCACTCGACTAATGCTTGTTGAGCTTGCTGTATCGTTGATAAAGATGTTCTTATATATCGAGTATAACACTGTGAACTCCACCGTCCGAGTGTCTGAATAAGGTGATCTTCAATTTTTGAACCTGCTGTGGTACTTGCTCCAATGCGAAAGCTGTGACCATTATATAAGTCTGAATTGTATCCAAGTACGGCAAGTATCTTTTTAAGAGAAGAAATGAAATAGTTTCGTGTTAAAGCTTTCCTATTTTCCATCACAAAGAAAGCGTCTTGTGTTTTACTATCTTTGAATTTTCTATTACGAAATTCCATGTAACGTTCCAGAGATAAAACTGGACAAACAGAAGCTCCCGACGCAAA